AACATCATTACTGAGAGAACCCACACAATTCGAACTACTCTGTACGCAAGAAAATGAAACCCCACGTGCCATTTCACAGATATATGCAATGCTGGTTACGGGTAGGTATATACTGGCACCCCCATGTATGAGAAACTGGGAGGAAGACCTAGAAGAACCCATGACAGAAGCGGATTGGGACAAAAGCATCACCCTGATACAAAAAACACCTAGCTCGGCAAGGCTACAAGAAAACTCGTACAAACTATACACCAGATGGTACTTGACACCGACGGCGCTCCACGCCAAGAATTCAGAAACCCCAGACTCCTGTTGGAGATGTGGAAAAGAGAGAGGCACATTCATACACACCTGGTGGACGTGCTCACGACTCCGACCATTCTGGAACACAATTAGAGAGGTAATACATGAAGTAACGGACAAAATGCTTCCGAGTTCCCCAGCAACATTCCTCCAACATCACACGGATATGTCTATACCGACATACAGTAAATCTGTCATCCCATGGCTCTTAAACGAAGCCAAAGTGACGGTCACAATATACTGGAAGCAGGCCACCACACCCTCCATTGCAAGATGGGTGGAAGAGGTGGAAGCAACCAGGAAATTCGAAGACGTGAAGGCAACCACCCCGAACCTTAGAGATCGCTACACCAAACGCTGGTTTCACTGGATTAGACTAACCGCCTCCGACGCTTTTCAGAACAGCATGGCGACACAGTAGGCGAAGGAGGGGAGTATTAAACCAAAATAAATACGGCATCAACATGAAGAGATGGGGAACGGCGAACTTGGACGGCGACAGGGGATGGAATCACCCAGCATCACCAACCCAAAAAACCCACATACACATAGACGAAACACGACTCGCCACCACATATAGACATATATCCAAAGGACAACTGGAGGCGAGACAATAAACAGGCCAGTCAGGGACATACACAAGTGAACACACAACACATACGAGCGGCAGCGCGACGAGTACGTGCAGAAAAAAGTCCGGCCGGAATGCACACTCTCACGGGCACATTTTTATAGAAAAAAAAAACCGCTGGGACTTCAAACTGCGCTACCTGAACCAAGGCCCACTACAAACACACGGACGGTCAAGACATAGAGCCGACGGCCACTGCAGTCAGATAGAACCAGAAGGGAGTTGCGAAACCACACGATCTGAGCGCCACACACATCCACAGCCCAAACACAGACCTTTTTGATCCACCCCAAAATCCACAGGACAGCACCACAACCACGCACACAGACAAACCCACCTAAACGCGACCACACCACGACACACAGACTGCGACTCAGACACAAAAACCTGAACCACAAAGACGCAACACTAGAGGCGGACACACAGAGCTCCAGAATAAAGCAACACAACATAGGCACAACCATGGACACACGCAATAGAGGAGACACAGACTTACCGCAAAAGGTTTCACCATTACTAGCAGAGGGGAAGGACACGAAATGTACAAAACCAATACAACCTCAATATACACGAGCTGGTAACCACAAGACACACTAGAACTCAGGGCTGCAGGCAAAAGGCCAGAGCATGCAAACACTAGCCCATTTTCGCAAGATGGGTCTTCACTGCAGTTTATGGCAACAGGGATAAATATGCAAACACAGGCATTTCAAAAGAAAACAGTGTATTGTTAAAATATGCCACCCGCATTGCACTCTCCAAATAAGGAAGTCATCAGTTAAATGTAATGGGTAAAATGTAAACTGTACCATGCAACACTTTGTTCAAACATGTAATATAAAAGTCACGACGAACTTGCCTCTGCGCAGGCAATAAGACGGCATTCCGACCTGTATAACTGGAAAAAAAAAAGCGCCTCTGTGTAGGCGAGCACCCACATATAAACAAAACCAAGTCTGCAATGGAACTATGAGGTGATAACAGTGAACAGACTCAAAACAGTGCATGTCCACAAATAGCCACACCAGCACATGTGAAAAGCTATGGTACCCGTAAGGGCTAAAGTTCATGGACAAGTGACGTGACACATCACACGCAAGGCTACATGCCATTAGTGCTACACTGCTTAAAACCGCTGGCTCAACGACTGGATCATATACCCAGAGCACCTAAGGTCCTATAACACATCAGTCCATGTCGCATACCTAGCGGCAAAATGTGCGAGACGCACCTTAATGAAAGCACCCATCAACGAGCCACACTAGTACCATTCAATGAGTTGATAGCTGAATACACGTTACTAACTGCCACTACTAATTGCCACTACATACCTGACAACAACTCCCTAACAACGCAGTACCAAGCAGGTTTAACGCATTTTGGATGTCTTGCTATGCAAGGCCTATGAATACCCAATATTTGTCATTGCTTGTTTATTTTGACTTCTATGCCTCTGCGCAGGCAACCATATATTATACTGAGCTAACTGAAATATGTCGGCCTCACGTTGTTTACACTTTCAGTATGCACGCCTCTGTGTAGGCGACTATCTGCGTCAATAATACTATGTTCAACACCCGTGTTTATATTGATGACAATAAACATATTTAAAACAAAAAGTGGATACAATATGGGAGAACTGGAAGGTTGGCTGAGTAACAAAACTTGTTAATTTGTCAGGATTACCAATATAGGGCTTATTTTACTAGGCATTCATAAATTCCGCATGTGCGGATCATGACATGTAAAGTGCTACCAAACAGTAGGTTCGTCCATTATACTTTAGAGAAAGAAATAAAATGATTAAACATGGTAGAAGGGCTTTGTAAATAATTAACTGATTTACATGTGCAACTGTGTGAATTCTACATACTTATGGGAAGTACTTGAAATAATGTGGTCATTAGAATGTGGATCCTCACATAGTTAGTAAAGTACGGCATGCTGGTTAATCCTGTAGGATGCATATTTAAAATGCTAGCCTACAGAAGAATGCAAGATATGTAAATGCCCTATACTCTCTGCATATAAAAATATTTATTTAAAACTTACTCATAAACAAATCCTTGTACACTAATTTAAAAATGTAGTAAATGCTATAAACAGCAAGTCTCAAATTAGCAGGACATGTGCTGTCTTGTAGGCCAAAGTTAAATCATATTTAATTGCGTGTCTACAGTTCTACCACTCTCTCACATTATAACTTTGAAAAATTGGTATGAGACAATACATTTCTTACACGGACATAAAAAGCTGTTGATAAAACATCAGGTCTGACAGCTCTTTTATGTTACCTTTCATATCTTCATTTCCATCTATAGAGTTGGAATAATAGTCCAGTGAAAAGTTTACTCCTATTTACATTATATGTATTTATTTATTTATTCATTATTTATTTGTAACTTACCATACTCTGTTTTTGTATAAGAAAACATTTTCAGAGAAAAAGTATATACATAATATAAAAAATGTAAGGCTACAGACTTTACTACATGGTTAATACATGTTTTTTTTTGGACCAGCAGCTGAGAATGAAACACAAAATGCCATTTTAATTCATGAAAATGCAGATGAGACACATTCTCATTGGGATGTCATGCTGCATTTTCCTTGGTCGGTAATTTTCATTACTGATTCTATTCATCAACTTGCTTACATACAAGAAATTCTTTCTCTTTGACCAAGGGAGCTGAATAAATAGATATCCTTTGGCCTAGTTATAGAAAAATAAAATTAAAACATGTTTTCTATTGATTGTTATATAATCATGAAGATTACAATAAATGTTATGGAAGACATTTTTCTTAACAATGTTTGGATTGAAAGAGGTTGACTCATAAAGCTATTTAAAAAAATTTTTTAATAAATGTTTCTTTATTGAGGTTTTTTTCCCTTTTTTTCAAAACACCTTTACAGGAAATACAATAAGTTCCCTTAAATATATATCTAGTGACTAGTTCACAACTTAATTGAAGAATGCCCATAACCTCCGCTTTAAATACACATCAAAGCATTAAAAAAAAAAAAAGTAGAAAGAAAAAGATAGAAATAAAAAATTCAAAAGACTGAAAAAGCACAAATGGAAAAAGACAAAGTGGGAAAAGACAAGACATGAGACCACACTTGGACTTAGGTGGAATGTTGTAGTTAGTCCTCTTGTTTGTATAAGCAAACTGTTAGAATGTAACATTTGTCCTGTCCTTGGTAATCACCAGCAGGGCTGGCCTTAGGCCATTAGACGCCCTGTGCGAAAAGTCTTCACGGCGTCGTTCATCCCCCCCCCCCAACAAGTTGCCTTATATATACAGTCACACACACAGGCAAAGGCAGACAGTCAAACAAACAGTTACAAGCAGACAGTCAGACACGCTCAGTTACAGGCAGACAGTCACACATACTGCTTTACAAGCAGACCGTCATACACACTCGGTTACAGTCATGCAGACACTCACGCTGATAGGAACACATACAGGCACACACAATGGCACAGCTACAGCGACACACACAATTGGAGTCACACACAGGCAGACAGTCACACACAAAGGCAGAGAGTCACACACAGAGGGAGGCAGTCACACAAACAGACAGTCACAGACAGACAGTCACACACACACACAAGCAGACAGGCACACACACACACACAAAGGCAGACAGTCACACACATACACAGACAGACAGTCACACAGGCAGACAGTCACACACACAGGCAGACAGTCACACACAGGCAGTCAGGCAGTCACACACAGACAGGCTGTCATACACAAGCAGGCAGTCAGACAGTCACACACACACAGACAGTCTCACACACAGGCAGTCATACACAGGCAATCAGACAGACAGTCACACACACAGGCAGGCAGACACGCAGGCAGTCTCACACACAAGCAGGCAGTCTTACACACACAGTCAGACAGACACACACACAGGCAGGCAGTCACACAGACAGACACACACACACACACACAAAGGCAGACAGTCACACAAACAGGCAAACAGTCACACACACACACACACACACACACAGAAGTCTCTGGTGTCTGGTGCACAGAAAGAGGAAAGCAGGAAGGAGTCCCTGCTTCCCCAACATCTAACTGCTTCTACTCTCCCTTCCAGCCACAATGGAAGGGAGGGAGAGTAGAAGCAGTTAGATGTTGGGGAAGCAGGGACTCCTTCCTGCTTTCTTCTTTCTATGCACCAGACACCAGAGACTTCGGGTAGCTATTAGCCCCGCCTTGCAAATAGCCCCGCCCCCACCGCTCTGTAAGCCCCGCCCCCGCCCCCTTGATTTTAAAAAAAAATTTTTTTTTTTTTGCTCCCCTGTCACCCGGCCATGTGTGAGCTATGTCGGCCACAGGGTGCCCCTTAGTCTAAGGCCGGCCCTGATCACCAGAACTACCTGCTATGGCCTTATAGTTCGAACCAGACCAAGCCACACCCTTTCAAGTATGCACTTGGATACACTCCACTGAAAGACATAATAGGGAGTCAGTTCAGGAAAATGTCTGCTGCTCATTAACATTTTAATGATAGCGGACGTTCTATGCTGTCATGGCAGGGGTGGTCCTAAATGCCACAGGGTGGCATAGAACATCCTCACCAATCAGGGGACTTACCTGGTCCTTGCCTTTACCTGGGGACTGCAAATATTAGTGTTTCAAAGCAGTAAAACATATGATAACGATGATATCGTCAGTAAAAGTGCAGTTTTTTTTGCATTTTTCAAACACAAACGGCACTTTCACTGACAATATAGCTGTTGTGAGATTAGTGTTTCAAAACAGTAAAACATATTTGTTTTCAGCAAAGTCTCTCGAGTATAACAGTACCCCCCATATACAGATTTTATGGTATTTTCAAAATATACAGAGTCAAATATAAAACTGGAGTTTGCTTGAACGTAGTCTCTTTTAAGTAGGAGTTGAAACAACAGGAGTTTCCTGGAGAACTGGTGTACTGTGACTGGTATTGGTTAATACCAAGTGAAAAAGTAGGTTTAATTATTTTTTTCCATCTTTTTTATAGATATTTTTAATCTTTGCTGATTTTATTTATAACTTTGTCCCTTTTTTATTTATATGTTTCTCTTTGCTGTTTTAACGAGAAACATATAATCTTGTGTGAATCATTTGCCATCTCTACTTCTTCTCTGGAGGAAGGTGTATAGATATCCTGTTCTAAATAAGGATATCATGGCACTAGAAAAAGTGCGGAGACGAGCTACAAAATCGATAAAAGAAATGGAGCATTTTAGTTAAGAATAAAGGTTAAAAAATGTACATCTCTTTAGTTTGGAAAAACGGTGCCTCAGAGGGGATATGATAACATTATACAAATATTTTTGGGGCCAGTACACACCATAATCTGGAAATCTATTCATAAACAGGGCTATACATAGGATACGAGGTCACGCATTTAGGCTGGAAGATAGGAGATTTCATCTAAGACAAATAAGTTTGTTTTTTTTTTTTTTACAGTAAGAGCAATACGGATATGGAATGTTTAGATGAACAGATGTTTAAACAGCAATTGGATAAATACTTGCAAAAACATAACATACAGGGATATAATTTCTAATTAGTGGGGAAATAGCTGCTTGATCCAAGGAGATATTTGACTGGTATTTTGGGATCAAGAAGGATTTTATTTTTCCTAGTTTGTTGCAAAAATAAAAGTGCTTCAGACTGGGTTTTTTGCCTTCTTTTGGTTCAACTGCAAAAACATATGTGAGGAAGGCTGAACTTGATGGACGCAAGTCTCTTTTCAGCTATGTAACTATGTAACTTGCATTTCCGTTTTTTCACATTGAAATTTGCCAGATTGATATGTTGTTTTTAAAAATGTGTGGTCACGACCGGCCTTAGGTGTTCAGGCACCCTGTGTGAGCCAATCTTGTGGCGCCCCCCTTGCCATCTTTGTTTGCCCCCTCTAGACAATTTCAGGCACATTTACAATCTGTCGCCTGCATCCCCTTCAACAAAACCCTGCCTCCTTCCCCCGTCCCCTGCCCCCCTTTATCACCAGCCCCTTGCCCCACTTTATCACCAGCCCCTTGCCCCCTTCACCAGCCCTCTACCCTCTTCAATAAAACACAATCGTTATAAACAAACAAAAAAAATGCAATAAGGACAAGCACTTACATTAAAGGCTGCTGCTCCCTGGATCCAGCGGTCCGTTTTTCCCACTCCGCCGACTGAAGAACACCTGCCGCCATGACACCCACTGAGCGGATCCTTCCGAAGTCGCGCCTCCACCTTCCTCCTCCACGCTCCTCCTGCATTCCAATTTGGGCTGGTTTGTGAGTGACTTACTGCGAGCTGTGTCGGCCACCTCTAGCCCCTGTTGCCATGGCGCCCTGTGCAGCCGCACAGCTCACACACCCCAAAGGCCGGCCCTAGTTACAGTCACACACAAAGGCAGATAGTCCGGCACAGTTACAGTCACACACAGAGTACGGTCACACACACACACGCGCACACACACACACACACACACACAGGCAGACAGTCAGACAGTGTTACAGTCTCACACACACACACAGGCAGACAGTCACAGAGTACAGTCTCTCTCACACACACAAACACACAGATACTGTTACAGTCACACACAGAGTACAGTCTCTCACACAGGCAAACAGTCAGACACACTCTCACACACACACAGGCAGACAGTCACACACAGAGAAAAGTCTCACACACAAACACACACATGCAGACAGTCACACACAGAATACAGTCTCACACATACAAAGTACAGTCACACACACAATTACCTCTTTTTCCTTATGGATGGAAGGGAGGAGTGGAAGCAGGGATTCTTTTCTGTGCAGCAAGTACTTGGAGCTTCAGTGAGCTGCAAGCTCCGCCCCGGCTGCCTTTTAGCCCCACCTCCTCCATGTGGTAAGCTCCGTCCAGCTGCATGCCCCCTAAGGCCGGCCCTGCGTGTGGTAACCCAGAAATGAGAATTATCCCCATGATGGCATACCATTTGCAAAAGTAGACAATCCAAGGCATTGCAAATGGGGTATGTTCACTCTTTTTTAATAGCCACTTAGTCACAAATACTGTACAAAATTAGTGTTCAAATTAGTTATTTTGCATTTTTCACACATAAATAAACATGATTGCTAACTTTGGTCAGTATTTGTGATTAGTATACTAAAAAAGACTGGGCATACCCCTGTTGTAATACCTTGGGCTGTCTACTTTTGCAAATGGTATGCTATCATGGGTTTTTTTCTTCTCAAAGGCAACATAACCAGTGTGGCAAATTTTAATGTGTATAAACTGAAAAATGTCACATGCTATATTTAACAGTGTAATTTTCCAAAACACCATAAAACTTGTACATGGGGGGTACTGTTTTACTCGTACATTGCTGAATATAAATATGTGTACTTTATTGCAATAACAGCTAACAGTATTATGACATTTACTGTTAAAATGCCATGCAGAACAATTATTTTTTTTTTATATACAATAAGTGTGGGTGCATTTAATATGAAAGAGGTGAATTATGGTTGTATAGATATATAGTGCAAATTACCAGATTTTAATTACATGATGTAATTACATGATGTATTATTATTCCTTAGCAGCAAAAAGAAGGATATAAGGTATTCATAGAAAAAAAAACTGAAACAAGTACCCTAAAGGATTAACCATAGCATCTTCGCCAAAGAGAGCCATCCATATAGCCATATCATCCCATGTGACCCTTAGCCACCCTCTTTCTTGGTGATGCCGAAGCCAATCTTCAACGAAAACCCCAAATGAAAGTAACTGGAGAAACACATCAGACCAACTAGCCGCCGATATCCTCCATGTGAATGGATATTTAGGAACACATCCGCTGGAAACTGTGAAGAAAACTGATCTTGATGGTAATAATCAGCAAAACGTCAAGCTGGAAGGGATAGAGAAAGAAATGGTAAAATATGTCCCAGACCCCAAGAGTTCATAACCAGCATCCTAGCCCTGTACCAAGAATCTTCGGCTAAAATCTTTAGCACAGGCTTCCTATCGACTCCATTAGCCATACGAAATGGCACAAGACAGGGCTGCCCCCTTTCCCCGCTCATCTTTATCCTTTGCCTAGAGCCCTTGATAAGGCATATAAAACAAACAAAAGGAATTCAGGGCATATCTACTCCAAAGGGCGAACAGAAACTGGCATTGTTTGCCGACGATATTCTCCTGTACCTCACAAAACCAGAGCACTCCATCCCACAGCTGCAAAAGCTCTTTGCCACATACAGCGAAGTATCCTTCTACAAAAACAACACTGCAAAAACACAAGCTCTCCCTATTCTATTACCGCACACCCTCACGACACAACTCGTGTGCACATATATATTCGACTGGAGGAAAAAGTCGCTCTCATACTTAGGGATTAAACTCACTAAATCAATAAACACACTCTGATTCAGAAACTCACAACACAATTAACATCATGGGAAGACCTAGAGGTTTCCTGGATAGGCCGCATCAACTCAATTAAGATGATGATTCTCCCGCACATACTTTACCTGTTCAGAACCATCCCCATAACTTTGCCAGCCCGCCTCCTTAACAGGCTCTAATCTGTTATAAACGCGTACGTCTGGAAACGGAAACCCCCGTGAATTAAAAACAAGACTTTAGGCCTCCACTTCACTAGAGGAGGTCTGGGCCTCCCCAATGTTCGCTTCTACTACCAGGCCTCCTTATTAGCTCAAGGTCTAAGACTACTCAGAGCTTCCGAGAACGCACCAACCCCTATCTGAAGTAATGATTTAGTACATCTGGAAATGTGAAGGAAACCCCGTAGGGCTGAAGGAGCATTCGTCAATGTCCAGTGCTCGAACATCTGAAACCCGTTTGCATGATATTTGACAGAGGAGCATGGTCAGTTTTGCTGGGAGCTGTTTAAGCGTGAGGTCTGCATTCTGTGGCCAGGTTTCCAGCAAGGTGAGAACCAGGTTCACATCCCATACTGACTTATATCGATGTTGAGGTAGTCATGCAAATCTAATGCCACGTAGGAGTCAACACACCAGAAGATGTTCCACTGGGGAACCCTTTAGTCCATGATGGCCAGTGGAGATAGATGATCTATAGACATTAATAGTGTGATAGGCCAGACCTTGGTCATATAAGCCTGTAAGAAAACACAATAGGCAGTCCCCGGAGAG